GGAACAGCACTCAAGTAATCCTCTTTCAGAAATCAAAGCAAAACATTTCTATCTGACTTAGCCTCAGTGGGTAAATTATGACTTGGGAACAGAGTTTAGCCAGCAATCAAAGTATGGTGCAAAGTCTTTTACTGGTCATACAGTTTCTTCTATCCAGAAATTTGTGTAGTGCTACTTAAAAGAACACAATTTTCTTGTAAAGAGACGAGTGGTTACACACCTACAAATAGGAATTCAGACACCAACAATAGCCTCCAGAACAAGATATATTGCTTGTTCATTAATCTCCAATTCCACTTTTCTGTGTTACTATATAAGAAATCTTCCTTATATAGTTTGTCAGAAAGGCCCAGAGAGTGGCCTCCTGAACACAGCTCTTCTCATCAGTTTTTTACCTACAAATAGTTGCATATCACTAATTTAGCAATATTTTGGATTTTTTTTTCCCCTGTAGCTTATTTCATGGACATAATCGCAATGAATATTTTTGTTAAATTTCAATTATTATTTTTCATTAGAATTCTTAGCTCATACAATATTTATTCCATATATGATTATTTAATTTATTATTTTTTTCTTAAACTACATTAATTCATACAGGAATGTCATCGTTTAATATACCAGATATCATTTCTCCATAGAGAGATTTTTAAACTAAATACATACATTTTCATTTATTCATTTTGACAACCCAGTGACATTCCAGTGACAAAGGAAGTTAACATCATGAATATTTTTTATATGCCACTCAATATTGTCTGCCATCCATAATAGAGCATTGAACATTGATTTTGAGCACTTGTAGCTCAGGGATACATATTTTTCAAAGAAACTACTTGGTCACATTGAATAATTTCCATTCTACCTACACTATCTGATTTGCTTTAGAGGCACTTACAACTCTGTCAGTAAAACTGAGATTGATTAGGACCACACCATAGGAATACATAAGGCATGAAACACTGTTATACACTGAGTCTTAAATCTTTTTTTTTATTCAGGTTGAGTTTTTTAACTTAATTTATTTTCATCTAGAAAAAATCAAACCAATCCATACAAGACTTCTCTTAACCCTTGTCTCAGTCTGCCCTCCAATTAATTCTTTCCTCAAAAATGTACCCAGATGACTCTGTAGTTAATTCAAAATTCTTGTTAGAGTTCAAATCCTTGGCATGTTCTATATATCAACAATATGTCTATAGACTGACTTACAGGTCAATGTCCTATTTAACCACATTCAGAGAATGTTTTGCTTTTGACCTAGCCACTGTTTTAAACTTTGCACTTCTGACCACCCTGTTCTTTTTCTCTCAGAATTTAAATGACCTTATGACATTCCATCTGGTAACTATTTAATTCCAACCATGAAAAGCAAAATCTGTCAAACAAGATAATTTGCTTTTAGAAAAACCAAGCAAACCTGTTGCACTTTTCTGAATCATTTTGTACAGGTAAAGGCAAGAAATTGTGACATATACAAAATAAGACAAGGAATCTTGAGCTGAAATAGTAGATTCACTTGAAGACAAGGACCACCTTGTTTAAGCAAGGTATTCACCAATGGCCTTTTTATCCCTCATTATGTTCCAACTGTGCTTTAAATCTCAGCTTGATTTGCTGCATGCATCATATGCATTTCAACTTTGCAGCATTTTCTTTTATGATATATCAATACTGAGATGAAGAATGTCAGTTTAGGTCCATCAGGTAACTAGATAATTATGCTCTCTTATATGGATACCCAAGAATTAAATTTTATAATGCAGGATTCAAAGATATTGTGAGAAGAAAATCCTGAAACAATGGTTTATATTTTTATTTTGTTAAGGATTATATATTATATTATATTATATTATATTATATTATATTATATTATATTATATTATATTATATTATATTATATTATATTATATTATATATAAGGGTAATTATTATTTCTACAAAGTTGAATTCCATAATAGAGCTCTTGGAAAAATCAAAAGAAATGTTTTGAAGGCTATGAAGAAAAGGAGCACATATGAAAAAGGAAATACTCTAGGTGAGTAGCTAAGCACAGAGTGAAAACTAAGAAAAGTGAGAATTAATTTTTTTTTAAATAGAGGATTTTTCACCTTTGCCAGTGAGAGGGAAAGTTTATGATGATCAAACTTATCAGTAGTGTGAAAATAAGAATTTTGGACTGCAACTAGAAAAAGAAAAAAGAAAAAACTAACAGAAAGACTACTAAAATAAAACAAGTACAAGCTAAAGATGAGTGTAAGACGTTCAAAAGCTTTAAGTTATTGAAAAGCGTTTGCTAATCAAATTGTCATATTGCGTTCTTTCCAAATAGATAATTGAATTATTGGAACAATGTATTCCAAACAAACTTAGATGAATCACTCGTAACAGTAGCTACCCTCATGACGCTTATGCTTCCTGGCACACTTCTACAAACTCTTTCCCTGCCAGTTTTCATGATATAATTTGTGTCATCAGAAGAAAAATTAAGTGCCACCTGAATTGAGAACTACTTCCAACCCTTTATTGCTTTTGAAAAAGAGCTAATTTTCCACTAATTTTCCAGAGACTCTTCCCAGGCAGTTTTAATTAACTAGGACCAATGCAATCTTAGACACTAACTAACCTTTGGACAATTTGGACATTGCCCTGTTCAGTGCACTTTGAAAATCTCATTCTTCCATCGCTAATTCTTCTTATGCTAAATAGGGACACTGGGTATTCATATTGAAGGTGCTAATTAGTTAAAAGTATTGTAGCACTTGAAAATTTTTGTGAACACAGCTTTTCATTCCTTAGACACCTACAAGATTAAGTATCATGGGTATGTGTGGTGTGTGTGTGTGTGAAAGAGAGACAATGAGAGAGAAACAAATACACAACAGAGATTAGACTCACCACACCTATATAATAGGCTAAAAGAACTTGTGCTGACTGTTAGATGACAAAATCATTCTATGAATTTATCACAAAATTATTTAGCGTAAAAAGTTCCATTACCTTTCAATCAAGGCAATGTATCTACTTGTGCCATAAAGTATTTTAAGTATTTTTAGAGAATCACATCAGAAGTTTCCTGGTCTTTAAAAATTTTGTTCTGTCTTGTTACTGAGAAGAGTCTGTTTAAAATATAGGTTATTAATAGAGAAAAGGTGGAGGAAATAATTTTGTTCTTTTTAATCAGTTATCAAAAGAGCAAATATATTCAAACTTACTATTATGACCTTGCACTGATTTTCAATAGTGAGTGATGATTTTGCAAGTCAGGCATTTAATTTCAGATGACTCAAAATGCAAACCACCTTATTTTCAAAATTATTTAAAAAGTAAACTACTGAAGAACAGGCACTTTCACTTTTGGTGCCTGATGATTGAAGACTCAATGTAAGATTTGGAATTGTGACAGTTGGTGACCCAAATAAGTTTAACCAACTGTAGAGAGAGAACAAAAACCCCTAACCCCTATTTTTGTGAACTTGGTAGGTTCTACTGTATTTAGCCCATATTAAAAAAAGACTTCACTTGCAATTGATTTTAAATTTAGTTGTGCCCATTGTCATATGGTTACAATGCCAAGAAAAAGAACTGCTCCCAATTTAACATAGGGGATAGCACAAGTAAACAAAGTTAAAGAAAAAAACTTCAGACTTTACTCAGCTGTTTTCTGTTTACAAACAGACTTTTCAGATGTTGCTGTTAAAGAGAGCACTAAACATTTATATAGATAGAGGACCGTTCAGTTACATAAGAAAGGATATAAGATAAGTAAGAAATTTAAACTTTCATGCCCCAGGGCATAACACTAACTGCCCGGGGCTGAAACATAATTTCCCTTTTGGCAGGTTATTTCAAACTCTTCATTATAGGAAGTATAACTTGCTAACCTCTGTCAGGAACAGGTTACTGGACAAATGGACTACTTATCTAAACCCTTAAGATATTTCATGTCAGATTTAGAAACCATCCATTCATAATGAGGGAAGAAAGGAGAATAAAGGAAATGCATTTCTTTAATTACAGGCTCATCAAAAGCAGGTTAGAAAGTTAAGTACTATAGCCTGATCTTAGATCCTGAGGCAATCAAGTCCCACAGAAAACAGAACCATTTGTGTGATTAATACTTGTAATCAAATGGATAAAACTGTGGGGATTGCTAAAGAAAAATTGCTGTTCTACGTTTCATTTATTAATTGAATTGCATGTAAGAAAAAAATATGGGTATGGTATGTTTAGCTCCCAAAGGATGTAAAATTCAATTTTGACATTTAATAGGAGGATATGAGAAAAGGTTAGATGTTAAATAAAATGCTGAGACATTTGTGAGTGGGAAGGAAGAGGAAGATAGTACATAATATGGTGGGTTAGTATAGTTCCAATAAATTATCACAAATTAAATATTTTTTTTAATTAAAACTTTCCTCACTGCATGTTTGGGGTTACCTGCTATTCAGATACAGCTGCTGCATTTTTAAAATAGTCTACACCCTTGGAGTGTTAACTAGCAAATCTTCCAAAGCTTAACCCCTCATCCAATAACACAATTAATGAATTTCAATCAAGAAAATATTTGGATGATGACATAGTTTAAGCATTGATAATCTTTTATGTGTAATGTTCTGCTTAAAAGTCTCTTGAGATGCAGTCGCATAAACAGCTTCTGGTTTATCTTTTATTTCCCAAACTAAAAACCAAGAAAATAACCCCACAGCATTCAGGGTCATAACAGGTACTGCTAAAACTTCCACAATAGGATACACAACATTTTTTTAATTAAAAAACACTTGAAAACACTGGCTGAAATTAAATTTGTAGTTGTGGTACCAGATTTAATAGTCTGAGCATTTAATTCACACAAAGGAGTCACTGAAAAGGAGTACAGATGTGATGAGAACTTCAGCTCTGGGATTCCCAGTCTAACCCTTAAGCCACTGCCATCGAGTTTCTTGCACCCTTTGTCCTCTAGTTTCTTGCAATAACTTCAATTTTTTTTTTTTTTTTTTACAAAAATGTACCTTCTACAGGATGGTGAGAAAGGGCTGCTGCATGCTATTTGCACAAATCCATTGGTTTGGGGTGAAACTGGGTATTTTTGGAAGGACATATCATAAGATATTTGCCACTATTACACCCACATTACATATTCTATGAGTCCATAATGCTCCAGGAAACTTTAGCTCTAAGAACTCATCCTTCCCTCTCACCATACAATTGTGGAAGGCTTTTGTTTTTCAAGGCAGAATTTTGTTTTTCACGGATCTTTTAAATTCATTAAGATTTGTATTTTATATCACAAATTGTACGTTTTTTCACTAATTCTGCAAGGTAATGACTGACAGTAAATGACAGACAATAAACAGGTAGACTGTGATCTAGGAAATTCTGGGATTTTTTTCCAAATCTGTCCTATGTATTTTATAATCTTGGATAAGATGCTAAATAGACCATGTCAACATGGAAAGGAGGAAAGTAATAATTCTGTTGATCATAATAGTAGTGATATTAAAATATTCTAAAGTGAGAGAATTATTCCACATTATAGTAAAATACTGAAGGATAACCAAACTCACATGAGGGCATGCAGGTTCATCAGCTGCTAGAAACATGACTAATACAACTACAGAAAGACACTTCTGACAGCTGGCTTACTTGTAATATGCTGGAATTGTTCAGAGCTCTGTCTGATTTGCATAGTAAACAAATCTAAAAGAATGAAAAAGATATGTGTAAACGAAATTCTGCATAGGAAGAGCTCATATCTGTCATCACTTGACTATACTGTGGCACTTTGAGTTCATATATCTTAGTTGTGCTTGTAATGTCTGGTGTTTTATTTCATCAGTGTTAATACTTGAGGATCCAGGCACTGTAAACTGTTTACTCAAATGTAATCTATTTTCCTGGCTTTACCTTTTTCTCCATGGATAGTTCTGCACTAAATTATCCATTTTGCAATTGCTTCAGAACTGAACAGCTAGTGCTTTGTGCCTGCAATGACAGATTGCCAGTATTCAGGTAGCATCATCTAGGTATGTTATCCTAAAGGATGGATAGATGGAAGAAGTGAAGCTCAGCACATCTTCTATGCTATGATGCTCCCTTGTCATGGGAAATCCTGACAACCTAATTGAAGATCCTTAGATTCATTAGATGATCATTCTTTCCTTACACCAGCTTTCCACTTTCTCAGTCAGTGTTTTGGTTTTCTGTATGAGGCTGTGCTGCTGAGATACACAGCTTTGTTCTGTCACTCTTTCAGGGTTATTTGTGCATCTCTGCTAAGAGTACCAAGTCCTGAGTTTTTTGCAACATCTCTCCTTTCTCTACAAGTGCAGTCTGGCAGTCTAGTCTCCCTCTCTTGGGCTATAGAAAGGTATTTATGGGATGCCTAAAACATTACAAAAACTCAAGATTTAAAATATCCTGTCATCCTACTGCTTACTTGTACTCATTCTTATTTAACTCCCATCAAATCATACCTTATTGCATTATGGATATAAGCCAGCACCAAAAACCAGAAGGCCTGTGAAGAGGCCTTAGAATGCTAATCATGATAGCCATGAGAATTTTGTTACTGATTTCATTACTTCCAGAACAGGCTTCTCATTATGTGCTTCACATTTGAAGGTTGAAACCCAAATGTATCAATTAAATAACAACACCTTTAAATATGTGCTCATGTGTGCCAATTGTGGTCCTTTCTGCTTTGAAAGGAAAGTTTTGCCCTTCAAGCTCTGGATAGTGAATTATCTGTTATGATTTCATTAAGCTATTTCTATTCATCAACCTACATGATAATGTAAAATGTCATGCACATTAATATGATGACAGTATGAAGAAAATAGCTTCTTTTACAGGAAACTGGTTCCTTAGATGCTTATTAGAGGAAAATGGTATGTAAGAGTACTGTAATACTGTTAGGCTAAAGAATCTAATCTAAAGAATCACAGTTATCAGTCTAAAGGAATTAGATACTGATGCAACTGCCTGCCCAGCATCAAAGGCACTACAAAGTTTCCCAAGTACAGAAGACCTAATCAGAGAATGAATAAAATAGCTGATGTAGACCTCAGGTCTAGTTCATCCATCCTTCTGCCTCCAACAGACCTGATAAAAAAAAATTAAAGTCTTGCAATAAGAAAGTAATATATTCAAGTTTTTCATTATTATTTTATAATTAAAATATTTCTTTATGTCTAATCTAACAATCTAGATGTTGCATTGTAAGTTTATTAGTTCTGCTCCTACACATGATGAACTTAGAAAACCAATGTTTGTCTTGCATTTCACAGCAATCTTTCATCATTTTGAAGACTGTCTCAGACTCTGAAGGCTAAATGATAAACCCAAGTTCTTCCAACATTTCTGACGGATGATAATTTTTTTTGGTTCTTATCTATTTTTTTTGTGTCCTGCTAAATATTCCAGTTCTCCTCTCTTCTTTTTGTATCTGGCACCTAAAATTACACCCTACATGAATGTAGAAGGAATATTGTTTGCTGTGTTTACAGCTTGTACTGCTCTTTACAAAGTGTGCATTTTCCTTGTTCAGCATATTGTTGCCTCATGCTCAACTACAATCCACTTTAATATCCAAATTTTCTTTTAACATAATCCAGCATGTATATGGGTAATTATTGCACCAGATTCTCTGCTCATCATTATCAAATTCAGATCACTGTGCTCTAATACCATTCTCCAAAGTTACATCAGTCTTTACAACCATCTCCAGACTTAATGGGCATATTCTCTATTCCAACATTTCATCATGTATATCCTACATACATATCCATATGAATGCATGGATATTTATAAATATATGTTTGCAAATATAGATGAATAAATATTCCTTGAGGCATGTCACAGTTGAATACCTGGGACATTGAAACTTTCATAGCCTGCATAGGTTACATGATAATGAGATGGTCTTCACAACGACAAAGGAGCCCAAGAGAACAATGGAAGCTGTGGGAACCCAAATTAGACCACGATTTAACTCCTTTGGGTCTGTTTCAGGAGTCATCAAACTGTGAAAGCCCCACCTTACAGCAATGAAGGAGCACTGAGCCCCTGGTTTCACCCCACTGGGTACAGCTAACGCCAGGGAACAGAGGGAGGCTGGCTGGGTCGCCTGGCAGACTTGCCCACGGGTACAGGTTTTGCTGTGGAGTGCAGGGCAGAGCACTTCAGTACTGCACAAGACTTCTGAGGTGATTAGGAGATCAAAGTCAGTGAAATGGGAATGGTTCAGGGAACATCAAGTATGGAAAAATATTGACAAAAGGACACAGTTTTTAACCCAGAGAAGAGAGCCCTTGTCTGAGCTGTGGGCTGCCAGCTTGCCCATGAGAATGCTGTGGGAGACAGTGTCAAAGATTCTACTGAAGTTCATGTCAATATCCACAATTTTTCTGTCACAATTTTTTCATCCACCAGGAGGGTCACCTTGTCATAAAATGAGATCAGGTTGGTCAAACAGGATCTACTGTTCCTAAATCTGCTGGCTCAGCCTGACCCCCTGGTTGGCCATGTGATCACATTCCAGGTAATCTGTTCCATAATATTCCCCAGCACGAGGGCAGGCTCACAGGCATGTATTTCCCTGGATTCTCCTTCTGTCCCTAAATAATTTTGAATTTACTGCAATAACACCCAAACAAACTGCATTAGTTTAACTAAGAGACTTCAGAGACCTGTAGAACACCTTTTTGGAACAAAGAAAGATCCTGACACATAAAGTATTCAGAGAGTCTACAAGAGCTGGAGCATTTAAGAAGTTAGATAGTAATAGATAATTTTTACAGTGATTGAAGCTATCATCTAACTCACAAGGCAGATGTGCGTGTTCGAAGAACTGTAGACTGACATTAATCTTGCCTGAAGTTCTGATAATCTGCCTGAAGTTCTGCATGTTTTTAGTTGAAAATGTTTAAAGATCTTTTGTGTGGTTTGTTAAATTTTTCTAGTACTAGCCTATGTGAAGTAAAATTCAATAAATATGAAAAAAGGCTGGGTCATATTGATTTGTCATTGAAAATGTGTAATTTTCCAAGTTCTTTTCAATGTGTGCAGCTTTGGTGCCTATTCACAGAGTATATTTATAATATTAACTATATACTAGAATATTAATCACATATTTCTTATCTAATTATATAGTTTCAAAGAAATGTGTCAATCAGTACTAACGAAGATTTACTCTACTAGAAAAAAATAATTAAACACTGCCTTCAGATAATGTAATATCATTTGCACAATTTGACTGAATACCTAATTCAGAAAGATAAAGAGGGAATATTTATATAAACAAACTATTTTTATCCTGAAAAAGAAAATAGAAATAAGTAATATGCACTCACACTAAAAATAGAAATAAGCTGCATTAAAAGTTTTCACTGACAGAAGTACTGGTTCCTCATTACTAGTAATGATAGGACAATCCAAAGTATATATGTTTTGGGTGGGTTTTTCTTTTTTCACATGCAATCAATATTAATAATTTCCATGCATTTACAAAAGAAACAAGGTGGATATAAAAGATCAGAATAGTTTATCGAAGTTTTTAATAGTTTCTTGTCCAGAGAAGCACAGGTACAGACATAAGCCAAGCATGTTACTGATTCCAGAAAAAAAAATGAATGTTCAGTTTTTACAACCAATTATTTCAAACTGAATTAATATACAATGCCCTAATGTTGGAAATTTTTAAAACCCACCAAACAATAGAACAAGCAAACCAATGAAACACAAAGAATTTCTGGTGGCATTGTAACATTCAGATGTCACATGTATTTGTTGACACTGATGTCAGAGCACATGGCAAAGCTCTTACAGGTGATGGTATGACCACTGGAACTCTTTCTGGTTGAATTTCATGTCAGTGCTTTCCTGCCTGAAGGCTCAGGTCACTCCTGCTCCCTGAGGAGCGGTTTGCGCTCTGGAGGAAGCATCGGCTGCAGCTTCTGCCAGCGTTGTGGGGGCCAGAGAATGTGAGTGGCTCGGCCATGGAGGAGACCAAGAGAAACCTGCAACCAAAATATAAACCAGAGGTGTTGTAAGGTAATGCAAATAAATCACTATGTGAAAAATACAAAGCATGTGATGATTGTTAGAGCAGGGGGAGAATACAAAGTAGAAGAGTGAGTAGTCTCTCATGCATGTAATAAGGGGAGAAGAAAATGTCCTTAGTATCAGTTTCTTTTTCTTTTTTTGATAAAACATTTTTTGGAACTCAAAACAGCTTGCTGAAATGCAATTGTGTTATGTATTATGGTGAAATGAAATGTATTACTGTCTGTAATACAGAACTAGGAATTTTTTTTTCATTTTCAAGAAAAAAAATCTCCTCAAAATAGATGAGGCATTCTATAATCCACATAAACTTTTTGGTTATTCATTATTCTAGGTCCTGAGAAAAAATTTTAAGTATCTATTTTAAATAATTTCAACAGAATCTGTGTCTTCGATTTGATCCCTATGTACTAACCTCACCAGAATAGTGGGTTTTCTAAACATGTTGTGTTTACTATTTATCACTCTCCTTCAAAACTCCATTTTGTCTTCAACCAAAAATGAAAATTACTGTGAATTGTAGAAATCTCTATGTATTTCTCTACAGATCAAAAACTTTTGAAGTGCTAGAACTACTTAAACCTGATTAATATGTTTTGCAAACATGTTTTAGCATCTTATTATTTATTAATGTTTACTTCAGTAATTTTACTTCACTCATATTTTACTTCAATAAATTAAAATAAAATTCAATTCTGATATTGCTTATAAATGAATCAGAGATAACATAGTATAGAAAACACAATTGTTTAGAAAATCTTAAGTAAATTATAAACAAGATCCTTTTCATATATGGTATAAAAATAGCTAGACTAAGTAAGAATAGAACAGTCACAATTTCAGACTGAGATAAGACAGTCCATACTTAACACTGAAATTAAGTCATTTTGTATGGAGTTAATCTCAGTTAATTTGAAAAGCCTGCAGCATAAACTTCTGCATTTTAAATCATTTGTTTAGACTTGTAGAGAAAATAGCAAGTAGTAAGCAACCAGCACCAACAGAAGTTTTAAACAGAACAAAATCATGGTTAGAAATACTGGAATGTCTGTATCTGTGAAAAGATTCAATAATTCAGACTCCTAAACAGACAACAGTGTTATAATGGCTACAGAATTAGCAATGGCATGGATTAAAAAATGCATAGGCTTTATTTGACTCATGTCATTATTTCTCATAAGAACAAGGAAACATCTATGATATTATCCTAAAGTTTTTTAAGCCAATAAAAAGGAAATGCTTTTCAGAATGTACAGGATTACATCATACTTGCATACTTTATGCAGGATACAGAAATGACCAGAAAAAAAATAGAAAAATGTTTTAAAAAATAATGATGGAAGCAAAGTCCAGCACAGGTAATTCAACATAAACAAAGTCTCTATACTCCATCTTAGGAACCACCAAGAGAAAAAATGTATACATGCTTTATTCTTATATTTCAGTGATCTGGTATTGGCTGTTTTAAGAGCCAGGAATTAAATGGATTTCTGGTTTGAACTTTTACTTTGCTGCTTAAATTCCTATGTAAACTCAGTTCCATTCCATTTCTCATTAAAAAAAAAAAAAAAAAGTGATTTTAGTAAGCAGGTAATTCAGCATTTCATGCAAACAGACACCAAATAGGCCCTTAGGAATATCTTCAGCTAATTTTCTTGATTTAATTTCATAGGATTAATATATATTCACCAGTCTCTCTCTACTACATAATCAAATCAGTGAAGCTGAAGTGGTATATATCTAATTCCATATTCTGTAGCTTGATGAAGCAGGTGCTGAATTACTTGAATATAATTTGGTTACTTAATAACGCATGATATCTAAAAGAATTTGAAGTGGATCACTGAATTGAAGTCTAGTATTATATTTCACTTGCTTGATCCTTTGCAGAGACCACTTTTTTCCCAGATCCGTAGCAGTTCTTTTCCTTACATTTAAGCAAAGGATAGGCTGCTAAGTGACAACTCTTTTTAAATAGAATTGAGCAACATTTTTTAATGTTTTGACACACTTTTGTGCAGTTTGGTTGATATTTATGGAATTCACAACATCCTGTATCTTAATTAGAGCATAAAGTGGGCTGCAAATGTAATATTACCATGTTGGGTTTTTTCCCTGAGTATACAGCATGATAGCACACACATTACAGGCTGGTGCCAAAATATAAAACCACAGCAATTCCCACAGCTGCATATAAAATGTGACAGCATTAGTACAGAGAAAAAAATGTTAGAATACTCTTTCCAAACACAAATAACATCTCATTTTCAAAGCTCTGTGTTTTTCTCAGTACATTGCTTGTTACTGATGTCAGCAGGAGGTCTGCAAACAGACTGAGAATATAATAAATGAATCAAAACATGTTTTAAGATGAGGCTGGGAATAATTTTACCCAGAGGATTATTTCTACTGACCATCAACTGCCTTGAAACTAATAAAGAAGTCTTCTTCCTATAAACATGATTTACAACATGACTAGAGTTAAAAAGGAAAAATAGATATTGTTGGGTGATGGAAGCCTTTGCTAAATAACAATACACTGATGCTATAGGACTTCTTTTATAATAACTTAAAGGTTCACTTTAAAAGCACCTTGATGTTTGACTTCTGCAAACAACCATAATAACTTTTTTCCATTGCCTATTATTATTCTGTACTTACCACAGCAGCCATGAATTTCACTGAGGAAGAACAGAATTGTTCGCAGAGAATAACCTGCCCTTGCAAATGGATTTACCCTCATCAAGGTTAGATATGAATGAACTCAGAAGAGTGAACTAAAAGGCTACACTTTCTGTTGTAACAGTGAAATACTGAGATAATCTATTAATTAATCACCTCACTTATAGATATTATTTTCTCCCTTTACATAAGAAAATAAATTTATTCCCTTGAAACACTGTCTTAACTATAAAAAAATCAGTACTTAACAGACATAAATTCTTTGAGGAATGTGTTCCCTTTCCATCACAGAGATGCCAGCAATTAAATAGTTGGGGGCAATGTCAACATTATGACCTATTTGTTGTTCTTGCTGTGGCAAAAACAGCCACTACATTGAATTGAATCAATATTATTGCAACTCAGCTGAGCTGTTTAAACTATTTTTTAAATCTTTGAATATTATGTAGAACAACTAAGAAGTCACTTCATTAACACAGCAATTTTATCTGCAAAGTAAGTTTTGAATTAATAATGCTGTTTTGACACTGTTACTGTGCTAAAAGCATATTTCCTCAGTGTCTGCTTGTTGTGAGTACATTAGTTGTATGGAAACTGATTAGTTTTGGCACTGCATAAGGAAAAGATAAGCCTAAGACTGATAGTGCTATCTGCTGTGGTACTTAAAATAATCTTGCTCATTTTGTCCTAATAGGCTTGGATAAACCACCTTTATTAGTATTAAGTCTTACAATAACATCACATCCTCTGGTTCTAAAATACATCATGAAAGTGCGAAAAGTAGTATTCAGACTGTAGCGAGTCTGTACATATGCAGCATACACTGGAGGACGTCAAAATTTCTATGGAAATGACAGGTATTCATTTGGATCTCAAGAAAAGGAAAGTCCAGAAAATGGCGTGATCCTATGTGCTGGTTTTGGCTGGGGTAGAGTTCATTCTCTTCACCTAGCCTGGTACTAGACTGTGTTTTGGACTTGTGCTGAGCACAACATTGATAAAATAGAGATGTTTTTGCTACTGCTGAGCAGTGTTTACAGACACTCAAGGCCTTTTCTGTTTTTTGCACTACCACTGCTACTGGCAAGGAGACTGGGGATGCCTGAGATGTTGGAAGGATGTGCAGCCAGGACAGGTCCTCCCTACTGACCAAAGGTATATTCCAGACCATATGACATCATGCTCAGTGTGTAAAGTTGGGAAAAGTAGGAAGAAGGGAAGGTTTGGAATGATGATGTTTGAGTTTCCAAGTCACCATTGCATGTGATGGGGCCCTGTTCTCCCTGAGATGGCAGAGGGAAGCAGTGAATTAATTCCTTATTTGGCTTAACTTGTGTGCGTGGCTTTTGCTTCTACTATTAAACTGTCTTTATCTCAATCCATAACTTTTCTGTCTTTTACCCTTCCAAGTCTCTCCCAGATTCTGCTGGTGGGGGAATGGACAAGGAGTTGTATGGAGCTGGGCTGCTGGCTGGTGTGAAACCACCACACCCTAACCAAGGGTATTCTCAGCTTCCCCAGAGAATGTAAAATCTACCCAAACAGCTAAATTCAAGTACTGTAGCTCCTAGTCATGAGTTCACTTTGGTTTAGGAACATTCCCCACAGATTCTCCCTTGCTTCTTTTTTACTTAAGCCTTCTTTATTTTTTTGCACCTTAAACAGCCAAGATTTCAAATTCTGTAACAACTCTGAAGCAATGAAGAACACCATTAAATATAACCTGAGAAACAGCACTGCAGAATCAAAAAATCCAAACCTTTTAAAACTTCTGAAAAAACTAGACTTACTGATTTGTCAGTTTTCTATTTGGAAGTAATAATTATAGAATCATAGAACTAAAGACCACTTAGACTGACCAAGACTTCTAAGACCATTTACTCCAACCATTAAGTCACGATACGCCACTAAACCATATCCCCACGTGTCACACTCACATGCATTTTGAACAATTCTAGACATGTAATAAGACAAAGAGACAGAACAAAAACGCAAGGATGTGACTACAGCTGTATCACAGCCCTGCAATTCATATTACCATTGCCAGTAACAAGCTGCACACCTTGTATTGGCTCTGCAAGGCCTCAAGATTAATTTCTCAGGATTTGTCTGAACTTACGTCTCCTGCCTGGAGTTTTGATTCAGCTTATTTAGATGCAACAAATTTTCTAATCATCAGGTGTCTATTGACTAATTTGTTACAGTTTTTCTTACACCTTCATAGGTAAAAGCAAAACTGTATGTTTGCTTATATTTGCACTTATATTTGCTT